ATGAAAATCTAACTAATATGCATGGTTACATATCGTTTCGCTTCCCGAATCGTTCGTAAGGCTTCACTGTTGCAATATTTTGTGACACACCTCTTCTTTTCTGACATCAATAAATCTAAAAACTGGGTAAACTAAATAATTCGAAAATATTAATCAGCGTGGAGAAACCTGCTGAATTATATGAAAAACGCCGAATTCTAGTGAAAGCTTCTATTGAAGAGCGAGCCAAGGATATTTAGCAATACTTTGGGGAAATCGCCAACGGCTCTGATACTGACTTCAGTGTTTGTAGTGATGTGGATATCCAAACGGTGGAGAAATGGAGAAATACCCAGACAAGAAGATCCTTTAATTTGGTGGAATCATAGACGGCCGCCGTGGTGCAGCGGTTAGCAGTACGCGCTAACATTCCGCAGGACCCGGGTTCAAGCCCGGTTCACCCCAACAAAAAAGAAAAAAACACTTAAGTTTTTTTGTAATTGCGGTCGCCCCTCAGCAGGCAATGGCAAACCTCCGAGTGTATGTATTTCTGCCATGAAAACAGCTTCTAATAAAAATGCAATCGCCGTTCGGAGTCGGCGTAATACCGCAGGTCACTCCCCTTGTATGACAACATTAATGCGCACGCCACAAATCGGAGGAGAAGCCCGGCCAGACACACTAACAAATGTGTAAGCATCAATTTATTATTATTAAAGTCGCCACCTTTCACAGTGAACTCGAAAAGAGTATTTAGTGCATCGTGTGGCATTTATGTTGGAAATAAGAACGGGTTCTTGACCGGTAATGCGGAAATGATTCTTTTCATAATGAAAAATATATAAATTTTAACTCTTAATTACTAATTAGATACTATTAAATTTTATTATAGAGATTCAAAAAAAAAACTTTGAAATAGATTCTTAAATAAAATTTTCTATAATCAAATCCGGAAAGGCCGGATAAGCCGGATTGCGGATATCTACCGGCTACCCGGCACATCCCTAGTTCAGACCCTAAAGAAGCTTCTTACAAGCTACAAGAATATTTGAAAAATTTAGAGCTTACGACTAGGTTCTTGGAGGATAAAGGTTAACGAAAGCAAGTGTGTTCAGACAACATTTACTTTGAAGAAAGAAACTTGACCACCACTAAAAATAAACAGCAAGGCTATTCCAAAAAAAGATAGTGTCAAGTACCTTGGGATGACACTATATTAGGGCTGCGCGATTAATTGATTACTCAAAATTTTAATTAATCATAAAGTAAGTAACTCAATTATTCGATTAATTGGAAATTATGATTACTCAAAAGTTCAGTTACCCGAGTAATCAAGATTTTTGATTTCCCAAAAACAAAAATATTTGAGTAAAATGCTTTATGATTAATCAACATTTCGAGTAAAATGAGTAATCAACATTTCAACTCTTTACATATGTATAAAGTAGTTAAAGTTCCTTGATACTTTGAAAACAACGTTTCTGTTTTCAAAAATTAAAACAAAAAATTTTTTTCATATACAGAATGTAAAAAAGAAAATAAGCATTTTCCAAAGCAAACTCTTTTAACGAGCAAAATTATTTTTTTTGAGTAATCATATTTCAAGTAACTTGATTAATCATCGTTTTGAGTAATCGAAATCTTGATTACTCGAGTAATTGATTAACCGAATAATTGATTAACCAACTTGCTCGAGTAATCGAATAATCGCACAGCCCTACACTATATAGAAGACTTACCTGGAAAAAGCATATAGAAAACCAAATTTCCCAAGCGAAACTAAGGGTGGTATTATCACTTGCGAAGCGAATGATTTTGGCGAAGCGAACTAAAGGGCAGAGAAGGCATTGAAAGTGTTCGCGATGCAAAGAAATTCCACAAGCTGGTAAAAAATAACACTCTTAATGCATATTTAAGTTGCGTCCGCCAAGTGACAATACCGCCCTAAAACAAGCAAGTCTTCAATAGGTTATAGAACACAAATCTAAATTAAGCCTAGATAACAAGATGTTGATTTTTAATATGATGATTAAACCATGTTGGGCATATGGAATCGGGCTTTAGGGCAAAGCGTGCATTTCCGTTTTGAACAAACTTCAAACACTGCAGTGAAAAATTTTACGCGCCACATGCGGAGTACCGTGGTACATAAAAAATACGAATATCCACAAAGATCTTAATGTAAATACGGTGCATGAGAACATAAGAGGTCCAAGCACCAGTTACTCAGCACGGTTAATGAACCATCCAAGTCGACTAGCGAGAGATCTTCTTAGCCCCAGATATGCAAGAAGACGAAAAAGAAAGGATTTTTCCGATATTATCAAATGATGCGCAATATAATAAATTTCGACATCCGCAATATATCGATTTCGGTTCTGGACCTCTTCCTTTTAGACCGACTACCCAATACCAGTGTCAGTGCGGCTCGGAACTTGTCCTTTCCGATCGAACACAGCCTACTGGATTGTAATTATTTAAATACAGAGAAGCGAAGGCAGTCCGGCTCTGGAACTCGTCTTTTAAGACCGCCTGCCCAGCACGATATCCAGCGATGCTGCTGCCCGGAAACTTGTCCATTCTGACAGCCGCAACAACTGCAACAAATATATGTATATTTAAAAAAATACAAAATATCTAAGCATGGCCGCAGAAATTTTAAACTTAATGGTAGTTTGTAAGATTTGAAAACTTATTGTCAGTTGCGATAGAAAGATTCAACTAATAAATATATATGATACCAAAAATAAAAATAAAAAAAATCGAGCAAGGACGTTTAGCCACCTCACCACATCTTAGCCAAGGTAATATTGTACTTTTGAAAGAAGATATCACAATAAACAGCCACACCACTAATTTTATGATATACTAAAACTTGGTAGCTTTTGTTTTCTTTTTTTTTTTTCAAATAAAATACACTGGTGGAGTTGGAGTTTATATCAAGTCGCCACCATGGACAAAGCTGCAACGATACTGCTTGCTTGACAGCTCAGTGGTTCGCAGTATGTTGCTCCAATGTTTTTTAAAGAAATCCCAAGAAATAATATGGACATAGTGCAGCGAATTAAATAGCGAATACAGCGGCTCCGCTGGCTTGGCCATGTCGTTCGAATGGACACCGATGTTCCAGCTCTGAAAGTATTCAACTCGGAACCCGCTGGTGGTAGCAGAGAAAGAGGGAGGCCCCACTGAGATGAAAAGACCAGGTGGAGAAGGACTTGGCTTCACTTGGCATTTCCAATTGGCGTCAGTTGGCATAGAAAAGAAACGTGCTTTGTTAAAATCGGCCAAAATCGCTTAGTCGGTTACAGCGCTAAATAAAAAGAAGAGAAGAAATAAATAAAGCCACGAATTAGTTCTCCGTCAAGTATATATGGTTTATTGTCTATGTATATGTAAATAGAAGGTATACACCGAATATATTACCTCAAGTGATTGTGACGCAGCGTGGTGGCTGATGGTCGTCCCTTGTAGATCTCCAGAAAAGTATCCGCCACTAGGGCAGTTCTGTCGCTACTGTAAAAACATCGAAGATAACGTGCACAATATATTCTTCACTTGCGAGCACTCATTGACTTCGCGCATAATGTTGGAAGAAAGATATGGAAACATAACTACGAATAACATAATTGGGGTAATGATCTCCAGTGCAAAAAATAAGACGGATGTCTACCGAGGACACCCGAATGAAACGTCCCTACAAGAGATCAGCCCTGAGGCTCTAGCAGCGCGCTCCTGCATCTGAGGATATGCAGAATTGAGGAACCAGATGCGTAATTTTCGCAGGCTTTTAGTGGGTAGCCAAAGATGCTTCGGTGGGAGCCCCACAGTCGATTTAACAAGACGGCGTACTTACCTTAAATATTCAAAAAAATAAATATTTTTACCGTTTTTGCCGATTTAATCTCAATTTGAAATGGTTTTCGATATCGAACGATATAAACTGCTCACAAATTATAAAACTACATTTAATTGTAATTTGAATGTGATACTCCACCTGTATATACGATTAATTTTGACTTCAGAAATCAACTTTGAAAGTTATTAAAATTGCTGTTTCTGATGTTTTTATTTCACAATTATTCTCTAAATTATTGGAAAGTGTAGAAGATGTTCATAGTTGTGAAATTTTTTCGATATATGTACATATGTATTTACTTAAGAAAAAAATGTCCGATAAGACAAATAATTTATGTTATATTTGTGAATTGCTAACAGCAGCATAAGTTAAAATTTGCAAATAATAAAGCATTGGTTGATACCCTGCAGCAAAATTTAGGGACAGTCTGGCATAGCGCTAGTTCCGCCCTACAAATTTCAGAACTGTCTCTGAACTACTGCAAAAGGGATGCAGAGCTGGACGGTTGAAACTCATATATTGCTAGTTGCGCTGTCATCAATGTTACTCATCCTGGTCATGTAAAAGTTGACAAAAGATGCACAAATATACCATACTATAGTATTTTTTCGATTTTCTTAGGCCCTAAAACTAATAACAAAGTGTTTTCGATTATTTAATTATATAATTCTCTAGTTTATGGGGCAACTTCTAAAATATTTCCAAAAAAAGTCGTTATTGGTAACATTTATACATATATACGTACGTATAAAATTGAATGCAAAATATAACAATAAAATTAAGTTCAGTTACACTTAACAGCAAAAGTCTGCCGACACCATTTCTTTTTTAAATATTCACAGTATATTGAGAGTTAAAATTTGTTTGTTATTATTTTATAAAAATATGATCATGCTTAAAACAAAATAATATAAACCCTGTTTTAAAACTTTATACAAAACAAAGTTCAAATTAACGATTTTTCATCAAAATTACCTTTTAATCAGATTTAAAAAAAAAATAAACTAAAGGGGTTAACAATCCCACTTTGAAATTGGGGGGCTATTGATATGAACGATACTGTACATACGTAAATATATCACTGAGCACCCGAAATGTGTAGTTATGCAGTGATTTTTTTTTAATTTCCAATGTTTTTCATTTTAAATATTTTTCGTTAAGTTTTTATTTAGGTACTATGTCTCATACTCCATAAACCATTTAAACTCAAATTCCTAACTGCTGCAAACTTGATGGATCTCTAAAAACTGTCTTCAAAACTTCAAAAGTTTTAATCAGAGATATTTTTTAGAAATATTTCGAGTATTCTGTTTTGTAGCCCACCAAATTTTAGTGTAGTAAAGTGTAATCTTGCATCTTAAACGAAAATATTTAAATAAGAGAATACCTTCAAGTCGTGCGTAGAAAGAGTTATAAAAAATCAGTGCGATTAATTATTCAAAAATTTAATGGGCATATTTTTAAACTCTGATTTAAAATATTGAAGTTTTTATAACAGTTTCTAGAATTCTACTTAACTTCCAACACAGTAAGAAACGTGAATTTATTTGTTTATGTTATAATACTTATGAGCAGGGAACGGATTTTTAGGACCTAAAAACCTATAAAAAAGGCAAAATAAAATAAAGAAATAGGCTGGAAAAGGCAAAATAAAATAGCGAAAAAGGCAGGAAAAGGCACTAGGTATTGCAAAAAAGGCAAAAAAAGGCAAAACAAAATAGCGTAAAAGGCAGGAAAAGGCACTAGGTATTGCAAAAAAAAGCAAAATAAGGCACTAAAAAAAGACAGAAAATACGAGGAACAATAAAAAAATACATTTATTTTAGAAATGTTTATATTACATGTAAAAAGAGAAAAACTATGAACTAGTTTCATTATATGAAAAATTTGTACTTTGAATCTTTGACTATTTTATCCTTTCGAGTTTCTAACTCATAAAACTTTAATCTGTATAGTTGTAGTAACATTGAACCACAAGATGCATTTTGAAGTTTTCTGGCAGCATTTTCATTCGATTTTCGCGAAGAAAAGCCTTGAATGTACTAAATGNGGAGCATGTGTATATTTTTTAATCTTTAAAAAAAAAAATTGTAAATGCTATAATCACTTTTTTAAAGGTAGAAAAGGCAAAAAAAGGCAAATATCTTAAAAAAGTAAAAAAAAATACAAATATTTTAAAAAAGGCAAAATAAGGCAACATCAAATGTGTATATATGGAATCAGGGAACGCTAAATCGTGGACATTCTTAATCGAATATACTCTATCTCTTTAGCAGAAAAAAATGCAATTTCCATAAAATCCGTTCCCTGCTTATGAGCCATCCTTAAATAAGAAATTTACGAAAAATATCTAGCATGAAAATCATTGCGAATCTTCAAAATTCTATATATTCTTAATTCGATGCCGGGTAGTCTATGTATTAAGTTTCAATAAATTTAATACAATTTAACGGTGAGTTATCTCAAATAAGCATTCAATATATCACCGTTTTTTTCATTTTTTGAAACGACTTAGTTTAGATTTTTAATTATAAGCATAGTTGCCAACTTGGTGCTTTAAGCACTAGATTTAGTGCTTTTTGAAAATTAAAACGCCAAAAAAAAATTATTTAGTGCCTAGTGCCGTTTTTAGTGCTTTTTTTCTGAACTAAAATTACTCCGATATAGTTAAAACCTGAAATAATTTTTAAATATTTAAAGCTGTGGCAGCACTGAATTTACAAAAATCTACAAATTTAAATGCACTTAAATACAACCATGAGTGATAAAAAGCTGAACTTGCAAATTCACCTTGTTCAATTGTATTCGCGTTGAAAATGCTAGTAGATATGCGAGTAAGTTAAGTAATTCTTTTTTTTCTAATTATTTGTAAAAAATTTTATTTTTGTACCTCCTGAGTAAAACACATCGAGATATCCTAACCTCAAAGTGCCAAAATCACAGTATGCCAGAAAAAGTAAATTTGTGCAAAATAAATAGCTATAGTATTTTTTATATACAAAATTGTATGCGTGCTTATTTAAAGAAAAGGCTCTATACTATACTTCTTAGAACCAGCTCAAAACTTACCAAATTTTTTCTAGCCCGGAGGTAAACCTTTTGAACTATCTAGGAACTGTTGTTATATGAACTGTCTCAGAGCCATCTAAGCCAGAGTTAGCTCAGAACAAGAACAAAAGTTCTGCAGAGGTCGACAATTGTCACTTCGTAGGACATCGCCATGTTAAAAAAGACAGTAAAGCATTGAGTTGGGATAGATGAAGAACCAGTACCGTCACTTTTCGGGTTAGCTCAGCGCAAGTTCTGAACCAGTTTGATTTGCTGCAGGGTAGTTACACCATGTGTTTTAACCGTACGTTTACTAAAATTCAGTGGTATGAACCAGTGGTATGTGTGGGGCACCGAAATTGCGCATATGGAAACTGTGCATTTAGGCATTATTTCGGTTTCAACCGAAACTGTGCATGTATGCTTTATTTCGGTTTTTGCAATGAGTTATTTCGGTTTTCAACCGAAACTGTGCATGTATGCATACCTTTGTCTTTCACATATGCATTATGTATTTCGGTTTTCATCCGAAACTGTGCATGTACATATGCATTACTTCGTCTTTCACATATGCATTATTTCGGTTTTGAACCGAAATTGTGCATGCGTGCATTATTTCGGTTTTTGTTATATGCATTATTTCGGTTTTCTAAGGAAAGTGTGCATATGGATAATTTCGTTTTTTCTAATATGAATTATTTACTTCTACTTAGTAAGGGTTTTAATCCCTAAGCGCGGCTGAAAGCCGCCTACGCAGAGAGAAGTTCTGTGCAAAAATACTTCCACCCTTCTTTTCCGGCAACACAGAAAGGAGAGTTCTACTTAGTAAGGGTTATAATCCCTAAGCGCGGCCGAAGGCCGCCTACGCAGAAAAAAGTTCTGCGCAAAAATACTTCCGGTCCCCTTTTCCGGCAACACTGAAAGGAGAGTTCTACTCAGTAAGGGATATAGTCCCTAAGCGCGGCCGAAGGCCGTCCACGCAGAAAGAGGTTCTGCGCAAAAATACTTCCGCCCTACGTTTCCGGCAACACAGCAAGGTGAGTTCTTCTTAGTAAGGGTTATAATCCCTAAGCGCGGCCGAAAGCCGCCTACGCAGAAAGAAGTTCTGCGCAAAAATACTTCCGGTC